TTATTGTGGAATATATTTGTTTAGTTTTAATGTGAGTGAATACTTTCAAATACCTGCATGAATTGAAGGTTATTGAAAACGAAAAAAGTGTATCAAACAGAAATATTTGCTTGATTAGTCATGTTATATATATTTCATCAAACGCATATTTTATGGTTAATAATTTATAGCATTGTTTAATTAATTAATCAATCATTTCGAATTGATATAGTTTTATTGTAGACAAATATTGAATCATTTTATTTCAGAGTTTAACCCTTTATTTAATAAATATGTACAATTTGTGAGAATTGGAAAAATATTCTTTAAAAAATCCACGCCTTGTTATAGACTATGAAAAAATATTCTTTAAAAAATCCACGCCTTGTTATAGACTATGAAAAAATATTCTTTAAAAAATCCACGCCTTGTTATAGACTATGAAAAAATATTCCTTAAAAAATCCACGCCTTGTTATAGACTATGAAAAAATATTCCTTAAAAAATCCACGCCTTGTTATAGACTATGAAAAAATATTCTTTAAAAAATCCACGCCTTGTTATAGACTATGAAAAAATATTCTTTAAAAAATCCACGCCTTGTTATAGACTATGAAAAAATATTCTTTAAAAAATCCACGCCTTGTTATAGACTATGAAAAAATATTCTTTAAAAAATCCACGCCTTGTTATAGACTATGAAAAAATATTCTTTAAAAAATCCACGCCTTGTTATAGACTATGAAAAAATATTCTTTAAAAAATCCACGCCTTGTTATAGACTATGAAAAAATATTCTTTAAAAAATCCACGCCTTGTTATAGACTATGAAAAAATATTCTTTAAAAAATCCACGCCTTGTTATAGACTATGAAAAAATATTCTTTAAAAAATCCACGCCTTGTTATAGACTATGAAAAAATATTCTTTAAAAAATCCACGCCTTGTTATAGACTATGAAAATATATTCTTTAAAAAATCCACGCCTTGTTATAGACTATGAAAAAATATTCTTTAAAAAATCCACGCCTTGTTATAGACTATGAAAAAATATTCTTTAAAAAATCCACGCCTTGTTATAGACTATGAAAAAATATTCTTTAAAAAATCCACGCCTTGTTATAGACTATGAAAAAATATTCTTTAAAAAACCCACGCCTTGTTATAGACTATGAAAAAATATTCTTTAAAAAATCCACGCCTAGTTGGCTTGTAACAGAACGGTTGTTCCATAAGCCGAGCTTAAAAAAAATTTCCAAGCGCGTCGGTCTTGTACGCATCTCCTTCAATTTGAAAGACCACGTTCCAAGATGCTGTTTTCTATTTGGTCTTTCAATCTGATTCGTCGCTTTCCCCTTCTACGGGAACCATCAGTTGGCTCGCTATTATATGTCTTTTGAGCTGGGGCATTCTCATTCATTCGCACAACATGGCCTAGCCACCGTAGTCGCTGCAGCTTAACACGTTTCACTATGTCGATGTCCGCGTATAAATTGTAAAGCTCGTGGTTTATTCGACGCCGATATTCACCGTTTTTCTATCAAACACCCCAAGAGCTGCCTCATCTGCTTGCGCAAGTACCCATGCTTCAGATTAGTCTTGGGCAATCTCGTTCAGTTCAGTGATCGAACGAACTGTCGGCCTAGCTATGGGTCTTTAGTACACCATTTACTTAAAATCGGACGAATGTATATATAGAAGCTATATGTAAATCTGAACAAATTTAAAGAAAACTTGGAACACGAAAGGTTATGGTAACTTCCGCTCGTTGTACAAAATTGTGTGCGGGTCGGCCAATCTTTGGGTCTTTAGTGCACAATTTACATTAAATCGGACGAAAATATCGGAGCTATATCTAAATATGAACCGATTTTCTCGAAACTTGGCACACATCATTCTGGACCTAATTCAGTACTCCATGCCAAATTTTATGCAATTCGAATGATATATAGGGTCTTTGGTGCCCCATTTACCTTAAATCGGACGAAACTATATATGGGAGCTATATCTAAATCTCAACCGATTTTCTTGAAACTTGGCACAAATCATTCTTGATCTAATCTAGTACTCTATGCCAAATTTCGTGCAAATCGAATTATATATAGGGAGGGACTTTGGTGCACCTTTTACTTTAAATCGGACGAAACTATATATGGGAGCTATATCTAAATATGAAACGATTTTCTCGAAACTTGGCACACGTCATTTTTAACCTAATTCAGTACTTAATGCCAAATTTCGTGCAAATCGAAAGATATATAGGGACTTTGGTGCCCCATTTACCTTAAATCGGACGAAAATATATATGGGAGCTATATCTAAATCTGAACCGATTTTTTCCCAAGTTCAATAGGGTTCGTCCTTGGGCCAAATAAGTGACTTGCGCCAAATGTCATCCAAATCGGATCATAAATACGACCTGTACGTTGTTTACAATTTAACATCTACAGACGGATGGACATGCATAAATCGACTCAGAAAGTGATTCTATGCATATTCTCAAAAGGAACCATGTGTTTATCTCGTTTCCTTTTGCCTGTTACAAACATATGTACAAAGACATAATACCCTGTACCACAGTGTGGTGAAGGGTATACAAATTAAATACGAACAAAGCGTATTTTATTGAAAAGAACGGTTTTATAATATAAAATACTCTGAAACGTGAACCTTTAATATTTCTCTAAATTAGAAGTAAACTGCAAATATTGAATATGGTTTCATATGCCGAGAAATCAAACTATACAAGCCCTATTGTATGGTAGGTACACCAAATCCTGGTCCGATCAATCCAATTTTTTGTAACTTGTTTTATAGCCCAAATTAAAAGTAAACTGCAAATTTTCATCGAATTTGGTTGAATACATCCGATTTTATATCCCAAATGAGAGAATTTTTGAAGACCCATTGTATGGGAGGTATACCAAATCTTGGTCCGATCTGGCCAATTTTTTGTCACTTGTTTTATAGGCCCAATTAGAAGTTACATGCTAATTTTCATCAAAGTTGGTTGAATATTAACGATTTTATAGGCTAAAATAGTGTCATTTTGAAGACCCTCTATATAAGAGGTATGCCGAATTTTGGTCCAATCTATCTAATTTTCTTGTTAGCCCAATAATTAGCATCTGTACAAAATTTCACAAACATACGATAACTCTTTCTATTTTTGGCCGCCGTTTGTATGAACTCGCGACATAGTGCGCCTTGTTGTAGGCAATGAAAAACTATTTTTAAAAAAATCCAAGCCTTGTTGTAATGCCTTGGAAACATTATTAAGAAAAATCACGACGTTGGGACGGGTTGTTGTTGAGAGATTGTGTTTTGGGTGAAATGCTTTGGGTATTTTTCATGTTTATATTTAAATAAAGCAAAATCCTTGTCTACTTACATGCCTTACAAAAACAAATAAATTATATAGGCATTGCATACTTTTAGGGGCATTTCAAAATATTTATTTTGTTGCATACATTTATTTGTTGTTTTTTTTTTTAAATTTTCTTTTGTTGTTCTTAATAATATAACTACCTTTTTGTTTTTTTTTTTAGTTTAAAATTTATTAACTATGCATTTTTGTGGTCGATCATTCTATTTTTTTTTCTGCACACAAAAATATATGAAATTATAATTTCATTGTCCTCTTTTTTTGCTTAAAATTAGATTAGGTACCATAGTTGTTGTTGTTGTTCTTGCGTGTGTTTGTTATTTTTTTCAAAAACCATTTAATTACAACAATTAAATGGCATATAAAGGTGGAGCAGAGTGTGAACCAAAACGAAAAACCTAAAATCGGAGGATAGCATTTTGTTGGGTTTTATTTTCCTTTTTTTAGATAAGATATGCCATTTTTTATGGTTGTTGGGGTGGATTTTGAGTTTTGTAGGGTATTGAAATTGTGTTGTTTTAACAAGTGAGTTTGAGTAGAAAAAAACAGAAAATTGTAATTCCGAACTTTTTCTTCCAACTAAGTGTTATTTGTGCATTTTTGAGTAAAATCATTGTTGTTGTGGTTTTTGTTTTTCATTTTTTGTTAAATAAAAACAAATCACAGATTTGGTATTTAATTTATTTTCATTGTTTGGTTTTCATTTAATTTTGTTGTTGTTTTAAATAATTAGGGCTTAGAGTTATAGCACATTAGCAGAAGGTGGAGTTTTGATCTAGAAGCATAGTTGAGATGATGTTATAAAAAAGCAGTATTTTTTCTTTTGTTGTACGCCAAACTCAAAATCGTTTTGCTAAGCTAAGCAATTTTTTTATAGTTTTTGCCTGCAAAGTTAAAAAAATAGTGGCATTTTTTTAATAATAATTTTTTTGGTCATTGTTTACAATAAACATAGAACACATTTTTTGGGCTTTTTTTGTCATGCCAATTTTTTTCAGAATCAATTTGTTGGTTAACCAATTAAAACATGTATTTGAATTTTGGAATTTTTTTTTTAATTTTTCTTTATAGAAAATAACCAATATTTTTTTCTTTATTAACAATTATTATTATTAGTTTTTCTTATATGGGATTTTGTTTTCATTATATTTAACAATTTACACTTTATTATGTACATAAAAAAAATAATAAAAAATATATGAAAAAAAAAAATAATAAAATTAAAAAAAATTATATGATATTTAAAAACATAGTGGGGGGAAACAAAATTAAAAATTGGGAATACAAATTCTTATGACTGATTGATTGTGCAGCATGATTTTTTCTGTTCTTCTCTGTCATTCATTTGTGCTAAGGAGAAACGAACAAAACAAAACATCAAAATATCGCTTGATGAATGCTGGGCTAGGTTTGATGATGATTTTTTTTTTTGGATCCGCTCGCTGGGACTTTTCTTTATTTTCTTTTCGTTAGTGCGCTTAGGACAGACAGTTGACATTTGTTTGCATTTTTTTCATTTTTACAATATAGAAAAGAAAAACGTTTTTGATGGAAAATTAGTGCAAGCGCATATGTTTTGGGTGACTTGGTTGGTTGACTGACTAAATGTGTGTTTTTTTTGGATTGGTTCTGTCTGTGTGTTATAACTTTACAGTTTTGGTACAGGCAATAATGATGACGACCTAAAACAAAACATATGATGTGATTAAAAAAATATTGATGATAGGTTAGTTATGATTATGTGATAAAAATTAATATTTAAAAAAATATTCAAATAATAAGCATAAAGTGTTTTTGTTTTTAGTTTTTCATTTTTAAATTTTACAATTAAAGCTTGTGCAAAAAGTAGTTTTAGTAGTATTTCGAATATTTTTCTTATAATCTAAACAATATATACCCTCGATTTCCAATTTGTTGTGTTTTTGTTTGTGTTGATTCCAATAAGATGGTTTGAAATATCTTTCAGTATAATTTATAAATAAAGTTTTTAGGGAAACTTTTAGAATAGGATAGCATCTCTGTTTTCAGGAGTTACTTATTGTTGTCCATATTTATAGATTCTTATACAATTATAATATTTAGCATTCATACAAAAATACCAGCAAATATTTTTCAGATGAATTCAGCCCTAAGATTACGAAACTGTTAATATTTTCAAAATAATTTTCATTTGCCGGTTAAGAAATAAATATAAATGTCAGATATGTCTATTATTGCTCTAAAAAGTGTCAGTTTCCAAAAATACTTATTTCGGTCTTTTGAATATGTTGTGCTTTTATTCCTTGTTAAATAAAAGTCGAGTTGTAATACTACTAAAGGCGTAAATATTTTTCAGCTACTAATTTAAAAGATAAAAATGGAATTGTGTGCAAAAATAAATTTATTTTTTGTTCTAACAGAATAAAATACTGCATTTTCTCATTTGCAAAAATAAAATTATTAAAATTTTTTCGTTCTGAAGTACTGCTAACTGATACTCCTTCAATTTTATCGTCAGCGACGTATAAATACCCAAGAAGGCGTGAAACGTGTCATCAAGCCAGGTAATACCAATTGTTTATAATCCTTCAGAGTAGTTATAATGCTACGTCACCTGTCGAAACAAATGCAGTGGAATTTACGTGCAAGAAGTTTAAGACACTACCTTGAATCCGAACTGGTCATGCAAAGAGTGAAATTGTGTAGTGGTAACCCACCTGTCAAAGATTTTTGGCCTGTTGACCACGCCATCCATGAATAATCATCTACAATTCACCTGACATACAAAGAACACAATGGAACTTCAAAAGGTAGTCTAATTTTTTCGGAATTTGTTAAATATAAAAACCACACTCATGGAAATGCATATTCCATTAAGAAAATCAGGGGATGTCTTCAGAGACAGGAAAAAAGTTAAAAAAGTAAACACCTAGATTGGTAGAAGCGATGAACAGCATTCACACCGATGTCGTTTCTCAAACAGCTCAGTTATAATGATCATGATCAATAGTCCCTCTTATCATGGACATAATTCACTATTAGTTCCAAACATGAGTCGTTTATTTTGAAAGTGGTTTAAGACCTTAAGATATTATGTAATATATTTTGGAAACTTTTCTAGAAAATCAAGATTTGTATCAGAACCTAATATCGACTTAAACCACTTTCAAAATAAGCGATTCACATTATGAATACACGCTCAACGTAATGAGCCTTATTTGCGAAAATGGACCACATTGCGGTTATTTTGGTTGACACAAACGACAATATTATAAAAGAAGCTGCCAGGTACGGTGCAAACTTAAGCCGAGATTTCTAAGGTGAAAATATGACGTTCACACCACGGTTAACAAAGAGGCCGCCGGGTATGTGCTTTTGAGGCAAGTAGTGCCAAAAGTGGGTATGTCAAAAAGACAGAAAGGCGTATCGGATAGCAATCTGCTATGTCGACCAAGATTCCAGTAAAATCAGCTATTAGTACGTACGAAACTTACTCCCTGCTCTTTTATGGCCCCTACCAAGATGGTGACTAGGGACATCCACTGTGCAGATGCAAAGAAACAACAGAGGTCCATACGATCCGAAACGACTCGAGTTTTACACGGCCAATTTCTGTCAACTCAGCCCATTGTGTAAAAGCAATAGTGCTGCTACAACAACAACCAAAAAGAGTCGTTTCTTCGACAGAGGGGTCTACTAAACGAAACGACCCGAGTATTTCTCGGCCAACGTCTGTCACCTCAGCCCATTGTGTAAAAGCAATGGGGCTGCTACAACAGCAACAACAAAAACGAGTGCTTGTCAGACCTTTATAGCATGGTATGAAACAAAAATACTTAGAGACCATTCATGACAGCAAGACAGGCACTAGTACTCTCCGCACAACAAGGATCAGAATGGTGCAACCGCTTCAATTCCTACTGGGCATGAATTGACGACATGATATCTAACACATGTCCAGAATGTGGACTATGGCCACATTCACCTGTCACCAAATTATCTATGGACGCAGCCTATACAGGTTGTAAACTTCCTGAATGTGCACACATAGGAGTCAGAACCGGACAACACATAATAAATTACCTTCTAGTATTTCAGTTGCTACAACAACAAACATGCTTGTAACAATTAGAGTTAATTTAGTGGGAGCTGTTAAAAGGAATACATAATCAATGAGCGGTTAAGGTCGAAAGAGTACCAACAACCTGCTGCACATAAGACATCGTTGCTGCCGACAGTTCGAATTGGCATATTCATTTGTCCAAGCTGTAGAACTTGTAATATGAGGCCAAAATAAGCGATGAGTTCAGGTGCGATGAGTTCAACATGGTGCGCCTGCATTAATTACTTTTGGGCAAGAATAAATGATGCCCATTATGTGGACTAGGACGATACGTTGCACACTTTCAACTGCCTACTAAATACAGTCACATATCTCCTGATTCACTTTTCAACCAAATTTTTGGAGATTCGTAGCTCTATTCTGGACAGAAATTCGAACAGAAAAAAATCGGCAATTTGTGTTTTAACTTTTACATGTATGTCTGTGGCCGTATTAAAAAAGTGAGCCGACATAATCAATAACTTCGCTAATGGTCTTGATTATATCGTTCATTTGCTGCAAGACAGGCATAACTCAAGAACAAAAAAAAAAAAAAAAACAAAACGATTTTGCAGAAAAGGCGTTTTAAGTTTTCAATTTACTCACAATTTGTATGGGACAGAGGAACTTCTACAGCTTCTCAATTAGAGTGTGTAAGAGATATTCATATGTTTTTTTTACACAACATGAGGTTATTATAGCGAACAATCGTACATCATTAACTCGAAAATCACGTTTTTTGAGATATGTCTGTTTTGCAACAAATGAGCAATATAGTACTTCCGTATAGTAATTCAGTTCTTCTCAATTTAATAAGTTATAACCGTAAGGCTGCTGTCCATTTCCACTGGCAACCAACATAAAATCGCTTATCTCCTAATTAAGCAGAAAATCGAAAATTTAGTTTAGATATGGAAAACTGAATGTAAAAATAAATCTAAAATATTTTTTAAAACGCCATTCGTTTGGGTGATGGGGAAACGTTCTCGTTCTCGATTAAGGATATAAGCTCAGCACATCAATAAGACTGCCATTCCAAGAACATATTTTCTAAATGTGATCAAGACAAAAAATGCCGCATCTTTACCGTTGAAAGACAATATTAATACGTAAAATGGTAGCATATTTTAAGGCGTCAAATTTTAATAACATTCAGATGCAGAGAATTGCTTCGAAGATCAATATATTAAATTGAAAGTGGACACAAGCCAAATTTAAAAAAGAGGAATATTTGTTGATAATGTGCTACTCCTTAATGATTGAATTAAAAGTCCGATATAAAATAATTTCGAGCTTCCAATATAACTGTTTCCTCTATTTTTTCAGTAATAAAAACTGTAGTTACCAATAAACAGTTTAGCTCCGATCGAAAAATGCTTTTCGCAATGTTGTAGATAGAAAATAGAGGAATAAATTCAAATTCTCGTGGTGGTCGTCGCAGCTCATTACATAGACAAAACCAACCCGTTGTAATTCTTGGAGCACTTTTTAGTTCAGCTTTACTGATCTTCAAAAAGCTAAGATGGTTGGAAAGCGAGGAGATATGTGGAAGGATATCATGGGAGACAAGTACTGCATTCAATTCACAGAGTGAATTTTATGGAAATTTCGATGCCGGAATATTGATAATAATGGTTAAATAGGTTGATATATTGGCACTACAACGTCGATATAAACGGTACATTGCACATGTGTTATAAATTTGTATCTACTATAGATAATTAAGTATAATCTTTATATATAATTCTACTATCTGGTATAAATATAGATAATCGATTTCTATATCCAAAGCGATAATGAATATAAGAAATACATACAATAATTTCGAATACTGAAAGATATTTCATAACCAGTTTTTTCCTATGACATTATTTTTTCTTCAATTACCGTACATTTACTCGTTGATGTTGTTGTAAAATGGTTTTCATTTACAAAAACATAATTGTGTGGTGGTGCAATTAATATTTGCATTTTTTTAATTTGGTATTTTCTCCTTTGTGTATTTTTTAAAATGATTTGAAAACGTGAACAATTATTTGTAGCACCTTGATCATATTTTTTTGTTTTCTTTTTGGAAGATATGTCTTTTTTGAGTTTTATAAAACAACATAGTTTTTTTAATCACAAAATGAATTTTACACATAATAATAAAAAAACGGAACAACAAATATTTTTCTTCTTCAATTATTAAGAATTACAAACAAATAAGGAACACTTTTTTTCATTCTTAATTACTAAACATAAATCACAAAACAATAATAAATATTACAAAATAATCGAAATTAATACTATACACAAAGACTTCCAATTGAGGTTGAGATAGAGAGAAGAGAGATTAAAGTTGAACATGATGCAACAAGATACAAGATGAGTACACTTGTTCGTGAAGACTATACAAGACTATTATAATCTTATATCATCCTATTTAGGATCAATCAAACACAAACAAACTATAGCCTAAAGTGTAAACAGATGTGGGGGAGTGGCGGAGTAACTTACATGTGTTCAGGGTGGCAGCGTATGCATTCAATCAAATCTTGAGGCTTAAGGACACCGGAGCAGATTTTGTGAATGGCGGTGAACAAGGGGAATCTGAAAGAAAACAACAACAATTCAAGAGATTAATAATTAAAAATCGATTTTGGTTAAGGCCAAGTGCAGAGTTATACTTTTCTTCCAAGTTTTTGTTCTTCAACATATAGTTGACCTCCTCGGCGGTCAGGGGGCCTTGCAATTTCTGGCCATTCAACAATTCAGTTTCCAATTGTTGAATGGTCTTGCCCGACTTCACAAAGGCCTCACCGACTTTGCGGTTACGGCCACCATAGCAGGTGGTAATTAAATCGGCAACACCACAGCTTTCAAAGAAGGTGGACAATTTGCCGCCGGGATACATGATCTCTACGAAACGGATCATTTCCATTAAACCCAAACGGATAACAGCGGCCTTGGTGTTGTCACCCAAACCCAAGCCATCGACGAAACCGGCGCCCATGGCAACAATGTTCTGCAAACCACAAATAAAACAAAATTAATAAATAATTTAAGAATTTTTAAAATATTTCCCTTACCTTCAAAGCACCACAAATTTCCACCGAATCCGAATCATCAACCACAACAACACGGAAGTGATTGGCCTGGAAAAGATCACGCAAAATTTTACCATATTTAGGATCACGGCAACCAATGGTGGTTTCACAGAATTGTCCCTCCGCAACCTCATTGGCCAAATTGGCACCCATCAACACAGCACAGGGAACTTTCAAATGGCGGGTAATAATGTGTGAGATCAAATCGATGCCACCACCTTCGGCCTTATCGAAACCCTTAATCAGGGAAATGGCAATGGCATTTGGTTTCAGTTTGCCCAACAATTGTTTACAGAAATTCGGAATGAATTGATGGGGTACAACGAAAATCAAAACATCAGCATCTTTGGCAGCCTCAACGAGATCGGGTACGGCAACCTGAAAAGAAAACACAATAAGAAAAATATTAATAATTTGTTCGTTATTTTTTAACAACGACATTCTTATAGATAAGATTTCTATAATAATGGAATACAAGTGTTGTTATTCGAATAAGAAGAAGAAGAAGCTGACTCTGGCGTTGAAGCAATTAATTGGTTATTAATTGTTGTTGTCGTCGATTTCTACTTCCGTCCAAAGGTCTTTGGGAAAGTTACGTTTTTTTTATATTTTTACGTAATAGAGGGTCTCTGTGGATTTTAAAAATAATTAAATAAGATTATATTATTAAAGTTGGAATCGAAAACACTTTTTTTGGAAAGCACTTGATCGGCTGGGATTTGGACTTAGTTCCAGAATAAAATTTAGAAAAGTTTATTACTGTATTATCTGCGTCGGAGATGAATCGGAAAATACGTGAATGATTACCGTTGTGTAGGCGTGAGATAAGGCTGGGTTTTTGGAAATTCGAACGAAAAGCACTAAATATGGTACCCTTTGTATTAGGCAAACGGGTAGACCTAGAATTCTGAAAATTCGAGTCACTGTGAGTCACTGATGAAAAATTAGAAAGATGTAGGGGTTTTGAAAATGTGACCTATAGGTATACGAGAAGTACTATACAGTACTAAACTTAGTTCTAATTTTATTTATATTGAACATATAATCTTAAAATTTTATATGGAATACAGGTTGGGAAGTGGTGATGATGTGTGGAAATGGTTTTAGAAATTCGTACTTATGTGTATGAGAAGTACTAAATTTTGACTATTTGCATTTAGTTGGGCCTATAGAGATAGAATCTTGAAAATAGGAATTAGGATTACTATTTGAGTACTGGATTAAGTTAGCTTTAAAAAATCTTGCTTAAGTGTACGAAAAATACTTAATGGTACTAAATTTGGTACAAGTTGGATTTTGGTCTTGAAATTGTTAAATAAAATGACTATTGGAGTGTAAGATTGACATAGTTTGGCAAATTCGAACTTATGGGGACGAAAACTACCAAATGGTACTAAATTTAGTACAATTTGAATTTTGGGTGAACGGAAAATTACTGTTGGAGTGTAAGATTATGATAGTTTTGTAAATTCGTAATTATATGTACGAAAAGTACTAAATGTAGAGCATGTTCCACAGTTGGTCCGAATCTACTGGACATCTTGCGCGTTGATACCATCAGCTTGGTCTTCTAGGCGTTTACTGCCACTCCCACTTTGGCAGACTCCTTCTGAATTCGTTCAAAGGTGGCTGTTACCGCTTCGACCTATTATCGAGTAAAATGTGCCGTTTGTTGTACAGGTCACACGGCAAACTATCAACTTGTCTTAATCGTCGTTCAGTATTGATCGGCTCTGAAAAGTCCTTTCGATATTGTCATTGATAATTGCCTTCAGTCGTTCACACAGCACGCTGGATAGCACTTTATATGCGATGAAAAGGAGAATAATTCCTTTTTTTTTGTGCACGGGACACAGGATGCTGAGGTTCCAGTCATTGGGCCTGCATTCCTCTAGCCAAATTGTACTAATCAGTTGGTGCATGCTCTGTCTGACCACCGGCCTTGAATTGTTAGGCTGATAATCTCTCGGCACCAGCCGACAATTACTATTCTGACCTCATCTTGCTGTGGAATACAATCTATACCGGTATCTTCTTCACAGTCGTTATTTGATACCAGAAGCATTGCAAAATGTTCTATACAGATCCACAGCACGTTGTCTGTATCTGTCACCAAGTTTCCTGGTTGTAGGTCCAAAATGTGCATTTTCAAACAAAAAAAAATTCTAGGTCAACATTTTTGAAATTTGAAATCGGGAATGGGTTGGTCGCCTTAACTGGGTTCCGAAATAAATAGGTTTGTCTTGGGAGGATACATGAACATAATGTCGAATGTGATCCTGAGATTATTGTAGTACCTGATTTGAATTGTATGCGTTATCATTCTGCTGTTGATGACCTAAAGAAAGCTGCATAACTGGTTGGGAGAAAATATTTCGCGCTCTTCGCCCGCACCGGCAACTCAGTGAATAAGTCGCAGCCCCTTCGGCGGGAAATATGAACGATGTAGTGTACTTATTCTTTGTTTCGACTTAGCTATATATATTTTGTTGCAGAATGTAATCGTAGAAGGCGACTGGACAATATGTTCCAGAGAATAACAGAACTTGGTCTATATGATGCCCAGAAGATTGACTGATTTTATAGATTCAAGAGTTTAGACATTCATATGTTGTAATGTAGTCTGTATTGTGTCAGACTTCAAATGGTTGGGTCCGAGTTTCGAACCCCTCCAGATGAAATGCAACCTCGGTTTCAACACGTAACAAGATCTCAAATATCATAGACCAGTGTACAAAATACAAGAAGGCATTATTTCTAGACAACGATAGATGGCAGCCTCATCACCTGGGACAGAACCGCAGTAGAGTTACATCGACATAACATCCTTATCTGCTTGTGAGGAAGATTGTTACAACTGGATAGGAAAAATCCCCTGATCGACAGCCAACATTCTCGCAAGGATAATAAAACAAATCCTTAGTTCTGATCTACTTCTTTGAAATTTAACTTGTCTACATCGGCGTCACATACAAGATTGTATGTAGGTCCATATTTTGGTATTAATTTTCAATATATTACGATGTAGTTCTGAGTTTTTTTTTAACCTAAATACATTGTCTATTTTCAGTACATTAGAAAACTGCACTGGTCAAACATTTTGGCTAATTTAGTCAATCAGTTTGGTGTTTTAATTCAATTGACGTTAATTAATTGTTTCAGTTCACTTCTTAACGTATTTTTATAAAATTCGTTCCATCTTAAAGCACACCCATTAAATAATTACAACAATTATTATCGTTGCACCTGATTGTATTGTACATGAGAAAACGAAATAAATTTCCATGTAAGTGGGTAAATAGGTGAAAAGCCACCTAATCGTACATACCTACAAATAAATCTATGTAAGTACGTGCCTTATGCAATATTTTTTTCAAAGTATGTACTCAATAAAAATATATATTTTTAAAAATAACATGAAGTATTTACAGTGTGTCAAGATGATTTTTCAGCAAACCATTTATATATTGAATAACTCTTAGAAGATTTGAAATATATAGTATGTAAGTACATATAAGATGATACATATTTTTGACATCAAACAAATGTCATTCTTGATTGGCGGGGTCTACAAAAATGTATTCGTGTTATTCTCAAAATATGTAAACAAAAACAAATTGTGTCCAAAAATAAAAATTTTTATATATTAGATGCAATTTTTTTATTTTATATTATGCACATTATGCGTATAATGAAACACACGAAATAAATTTTCCAAAAATAATTTATATAAGAGATAATGAAAACAAATTATATGCCAAGAAATTTTATATTATTTTCTAACATAAAAATACCGCGGCAAACAAACAAAATTGGAGGGTATGAAGATATATTCGAAGAGGCTAAGCATGTAAACCATGAGAAACTGGTCTTCAAAAAATACGAAGTTATTTATTCATGCTATCATCTCGGAAATCAAGAAACAAGAATTAATGTAATGTGTAAATCAAAGTTCCTAAACATTTATGGTAATTATATTTGCGCACAATTTTTTTTTTCATATACACCATATGTGTATTGAAAAAATTTGGAGGCCAATTGTAATGTCTTGTAATGAAAACAAACAATAGTGCGATGATTACAACTAAGTTCAATGAACTTCCGATGATATTAACTTCCTCAACTCCAAATTATTTTTAAAATGAATATAGAATAGAAGAAAAAATCGGCTAATCAATAACATTTGACGTATTTTAGACAAATTTTGAATTTGTCAAATATTCTTTATGTCGCTATGTCGAACCACACCCCTGTTTTCCAAAGGTGATCAGCAATAGTTCTATAAGTACTACAAAACACATGAAAAAATTCGAACACTTCAAATAAACTTGTTATTGTATATCAAAACAAACACAAAAAATAAAATATTTATTTAATTGTTTAACACATTTTGATAAGACCGTGTCACCGAGTAGCGAGCGAGTGTTTTGGCAATGAATAAAGAATGCGCCACCAATAAATAGTACCTAAGGCATTTATTTGTCGAACAAATAACTGTATTATTAGTTAAATATTGGACAGATGCGAAAAATAATGGTGTGTTTCAAATATATTTTTTTTTTATTATAATCTCAATTTTTTCTCAAAACACCAAAGTTCTCTGTTTGGATACAAAAAATATATTTTCAAGCTCCAACAGAACCTAGACACAGACTCTTTTTTTTGATTTTATAAGTATTTTTATGTAGCTTATTCGTGAAGAAACATTTTTTTTTTTTTTTGTCAGAAAAAAAAGCTAAAATTCCAATTTTTACCTTATCGATCATAAATAATAAAATACTGATTGGTACTCTAAGTACAACACAATGATCTGGAATTCTATTGAAAATTGTATTGACTGGCTGCGTCAACAACCAAAATTGTAGCACTTGGGGCTCAGGAAATCCACCATCTACATTTGTCTTTTTAATGCTGTTTATGTTTATTCGAAAACTTCTTTTAATTATGAATTATTAATATGAAATTATTTATTATTTATCTTATTTTTTCAAAAAAGTCATAGAATTTAATATAGGATTAGAAACATATTTCGATTTGAATGAAATCAGACATTTCATTATCTTGAGGTTAGATTAAAAAATTTTCAATATGTTGACACTATGTGGGGAAGGTACCAGAACTAGTAGACCATCGGGTACCATATTCACCTAAGGCAAATATATTACCATGTGCAAAGTGTGAATTATGTTGGATATTCCGTTCGCTCCTTATGATATTAGGTTGGGGGAAAATGCATTATTTTTGTCGACAGATGGCTGTACTAATAGATTTCTCGTAAAGTATCAGATTTATGCTCGGTGTAATGGTTATATTTCGCATCAAAAAAAAAAAACACATTTACCATTACAATTACAGAAACGACCAGAAACTTCGGGAAC